ATATTTCAAGTAGGTGAATAACTTTATTCGGCAAATACGGTTTGAGATCGCCAAGGCTTTTCACAGATGACATCTGAAGAAAAGAAAATTAATGTTTGGAACTCTTCATTAATGATTTAAAGTAATTTGAATTCAGCAGCGCACAATAAATTTGCAGTGAAGGAGAAGTTGAACTACTAGACACAAAATACCATTGTGTTACCACTGCTTGAAGCAGGTACAAATGAACTCAAGTAGTCACCCACAGATAAAGCAAACCTACTAGATCGTACTCAGTTTCGCTAGATAAAAAATTTGGGATAGCAGTGATTATAACGCTATTTAGTTAAAATATTATTTAATACTCCCTAGCGAGTGAAATGAAAGAATATAGAGTAATTCTAAAATTAAGATACACTTTCGCTCTTCATAATAAAAACCAGTTCGCGGCCCAACACAGATAATTTCAACGAGGAAAATTTAAAACAGGATATTGTTATAATTCTTACTTTTTCTGATTTAATTACAAAAATCTTTCACCCAATGAAATGAAATTAAACACCTTATGAATCCACTCAATCTACTCAAACTGAGAAGTTATGGGTTGGAAAATTTGACTAAAATGAAAGTCAGCACGAATAATAGACTAAATACTACTCAGCAGCAGTAAATATGTCGGAATTACCAAAGGAATTCAAGAATAACTTCAACCGCAAAAGTAATAGAGAAAGATTTTTAAAACGACTCCTAAAGGGCTACTGAAATTTTTTAGATTTCCTCATTAGAACCAAAAATACCTTCTTATCAAGCAGCTTTTTTGCCTGATACATAGCTGTTTCGCCCATCATTAAAAATTTCATTTGCTTTTCAGGCAGCATTTTCTGTAAGGAATGCTTCTTCAGCTGCTTCTGGAAAAACTGAAAAATATTGTTATAATTTTATAATTTCTACACTCTTTCGTTCAGATTGAGGGTGGAAAAGAGAGGCATAAGAAAATGAAAGAAAGAAGGTCACACGATTCAAACATTGAAGCTTTAAGAAATCTTTTAAATTACCAATCTCAAAAATTCCTTAACCAAATAAATTTGATATACAGACCTGACAAACTTTCCACGCACACCAACATCCCATTTGTTTTAGAACTGACAATGTCCTTCTTACAGCTTCCAATACTTGCTTTCTAGGATCAATTTCAAATTCAGAATTGAACTCCCGGCTTTTTAAGCAAAAGTCTTGCACGGCTTCCGAAAACATGTATGTAAAGTTGATGAAGTTTATAATTAAATAAGGTTGAAAAATCACTATGAACAACAGTATCTTCAACTTAGTATCGTATTCATCATTCAGCCTCTAAATAGAAAATATTTCTAGTATTGTGGCAAAATAGAATCATACTAGAGTATTAATCAGCAAAACGCCTTCGTTGCTATTAACAGAGCAAGAATCCTCACAAACAATGACAAATTCTTTGGGTGACGGCCCGTATTTTGAAATCTAAAATAAAAATTTATCTGCCTTTGAAATTTATCGGCCAATGACATGCATTGTTTCTTCAAACATGAAAAAAACACCTTAAAAACACATAAGAATTTACCGATACTATGTCACTAGCAGTTACAACATCGCTACACATTATAGACTCAAGCTGAGAAATTAGCTGTCGAAGTTTGCTTGATGGCGTTTTATCATTAATCAGGGAAGCTGTTAGACCTAAGACTTTAGGTCGTTTATCTGGAAGAAAAAAAGCACTGTTCAATTTTTCTTAAATTGGTTCCTTTTTTAAAACAACCCAATTCAGTCGAATAAAATAAAAAGCACACCTTAGTTTCCAAAAATAAGCAGAAATAAAAGCCAATCATCCTACTGCAAAAAATGTACCTTCTGAACAATTTTTGTAACGATGCATAATCCTTCTATAAGGATGATTTTTCCCTAGAACATGATGGCACTCATCAAGCACTAAAAGCGCTATATCTTCCAAGTGAATAAAACCATGATCCAAAACGTTTAAAAATATTTGAGCTGTAGAGACTACCACCTGAAATACCTGATTAAACTAGGAAATGTCTAACAAGTCAACGTCATCGCCTTCACAAAAAATTTAAGAACACAAAGTACTTCCAGCTAGTCTTTGAAATTAACCTCATAATTACAAATAAATTTGTTAAATTTTTCAAGTGAAGAAGCGGCGTCTGCATTCCGGCTGCCGTGGATCCTACCAACACATAAAACAGTATGACACTCGATATGTTGAGCTTGCTGTTCCACAATTGATACTAAAACGGTTCTCATTTTCAAACAACCGCTGCAGCTTTAAGATACAGCATAAATCAACCATGAGAAGAACTGAATAGAAAAAGCATAGATTTCTTTAACTGGTGCTTTGAAGCAAACGATAAAAAGCTAATACGACTTTACCCTTGTCAACAAGAAAAAAAGCTTTTTTCTTCCCGCTTGGATCTGTCAAAACAGCCGTGTGATCCTTTATCAGCAACACCGCAATAAATGTCTTGCCAGTACCCGTACCCAAAGGCACAATAACATTCCCTTTACGTGCTTTTTCTAATAGTTCGACCTGGAAATTTCAATAGGCATAAAAAGTTGACGATCTGATTAGAGATGAAAAACCTTCTCCTCTGGAACTAAGATCTGCCTACAGAAGTCAATAAACGTAATAGACAATTTGAAATTTTGTAAGTGTGACTTAGATTCTTAAGGCTCCAAAGAATTAAATTAAAAAACGCGTTACTGTTAAGGTACCTGGTGATCTCTTGGGGAAAAAAAAGTTTTAGGTATTTCATTGCCTCGATTCACCATTGCCCTAAAAATTTATTACAGCTGTACATTTGAACATTTCAACAAAACGTCTAGCACGCGAAAAAATCGAGGAAATGCGAAATGCTAACAAGAAAATTAAATGAAGAAATAAAATGACATAACAATAATAACAAAAAAAATAACAAAAATTTTTTACAACTAAGCAAAGCAACGTCATAAACCTTGCCAAATGAGGTCCATACAAATAAACAAAGAATGAATTTATTACTTTAAGAAAATTGCAAGCCTTGGAATTCCACATATTTTCAAAAAATACTAAAACTTCTAAACTACAGTACATCGCGTAGGGCCACGACTCAAAACTGAGTCATACAAGGTCCTGGTAGCTTCTCCTAGACTTATCTTTGAAAAAGTAATCAGGTTTTTCCTCCCATAATCCCAAATTCCTTTCTTCTCTCAGTTCGTCCTGTTTATTGTAATTATGGTACTGTAGCAGGTATTTGATTCTTTTTTGCAAGTCATACCAACGACGTGGAGCATTTGCTTGTAATTTTTCCTTATAAAGATTCCGGTAGTGTATCAGTTTAACGAGCTCATTAGCTCTATGCTGTCCAGGAAAACCCCGAAGCCATGGCGGAACATGGTACAGTAACTGTGCGGGGTGTAAGCTCCCGTCTCCTAGAAGATCAATATAGTCGTTCTCGCCAAACCTAGCTTGTTCTGGTTTCCATGTGTTACAAGGTTTCTTTCGAGGTCGAGCAACAGGTGTTTTACAATCCGGTATTCGCGGAAGAGGGTCTACACCAGGCCTATGATACCTGTATACGTAACCGGCATCAAAAACCTTGCACATTTTTTCTTCATGATCATTTGTTACTCTTGGGACAGAAGATCGGTCATGAAACTGAGAGATCGACTGAACTGTACGCTGATTCCGGAAAACCCGACTGGCGTTAGCGAACATCCTGAACAGCGAAATTTGAGAACATTACACAAAAATCGTTGTTTTTGGTAGTGAAAGTGGGATAAATAGCAAAAAATAAAAAATAAGTAAGTACCTTCGCCGATGATTGGAGTTTCGGGCTAATGACTGGTTGTTAATGACAAGACTCTTGCGAGTAGGCTGTTCTTGATATATTTTTTTAAACCTTCCCACCTGAAAACAGCAATTGTCATTTTTAATACTTCAAGAAAAAAAGCCTTTATTTTTTCAGCTAACGGTAACAGTTTAAGCAAAAGATGTTCCGCATTAGCTACTGGTTGACGGTTTCTCTTCTTGACTACAATGGTAACTGTGGATAAAAAAATTTGAATTCGGACAGTAATTTTCTCAAAATATGGCAATTTCTCTGGAAAGCCCCTGATGAATACTATGACACTAACTGTTTACTGCATTTCAAAACGTACTATGTACAGGTTGAATTCAGCATGATCTTTTTCGTCTTGCGACAATTGAGCAAAGATTAATAGTGATAAGAGACTTAGGGTAAATGCTAAAAATACGGTGCTATTTTTGTAAAATATTATCATTTCAGCTGTCGCTAATAAACGAACTTTTGTAAGATGAAAAAAAAAAAACATTAAGAGAAGTTAATGAACACCAAAATTTTATCACTTCCAAAAAATAAACCAATCACTGACTAATTTTCTTCCTTTCCTTTTTTCTTCAAGTTAATGGAAACTCAAATCTCTTCATGCAGCTTTTACGACAATAATTTATTTGACCTTTTCATTTCACTCTTGAGGTAAAGATTGTCGTCAATCCTTTTCTGTCATTAAATTAATTACAAAAACTTTAAGCAGGTGTACCATGTCGATATAAACAATAAAATTAGTGCCCGTGAGTAAGTAACAACTACACGTCTACTGTGTAGTTCCAAATTACACTTAGATCAAAAAAAAGTAGATTTAAAACTGGTGCTTTCATTTACTGGATCCATAAATCTAAGTTACTCAAAAAAATAAATAAATAAATAAAATAAAATAAAAATAAGAAACATAAAGCCCGTTTAGCAGTATAGAACTTGACGTGAACGCTACGTTATATAATATGGGCGTTTCTAAACGTATCACTATCGAGGATCATAGTATCAACTAACCCTGCCAACAACACACTGTAACTGCAAATATATATTTGGCTGCATCAACCAGCCACATACTTTCAAATGATATCCTTCATTTGCAACTAACAAAAACGATTGACACTCAGCCGACGTCCGTTTTGCCAATTTACGGTTACGCCTAAACGTTTAAATGAAGTTTATCTGACCTCCAGTACTTTGTTATAAATAGCGTCGTGATTTTGACAATGGTCTGGGTTTTCGATGTATCAGGCATTGGTTTCTGATGTAGACATTTACTAAGAAAGAAACTGCAAATTAACCACTGTTTGGTTAAAGCTGAAAATTGTAACTAGTCTTTTTTTCTTAACTCTTGATACCTTAAATTATCACTCGATGTTGTGCATTTATGATACGCTTTATCGTCTTGGTTTATGGTCCATATTTGTACTTAACAGTTGGCTTTTAGCCTATCAAATGACGGGTGAGAAGAAGCGAGGAAAACGTACGCCTCGGTTGAGGCGAAATTATGAGTTGGCACCAGGCGTAATGAGATTCTCACGAGCTAGAATGTATTCGAAAAGAGCCATATATGCAAAGAAGCCATTCCCAGTTTCTAAAAAGACAAAAGAAGTTAAAGAAAAGTTTGTTACTAAGAAGATTGGTGGTGAAAAAAATGGAGAAGTGCGGAAAGTTCGGATCAAGAAGGGAGTAAGTTGCAAGCTTCGTATTTTGCTTGTAAGATTATATGAACTTCTTAGCATCACTACTCGTTTGTTTTTGCTGTTGCAACTTGAAGAAAAAAATGTTTCAAATTCCTTTTGAATTCGTTTTCATAGTTCTGAGCAAGACCTCATTTTGAATACAGTCGTTGTAGGTGTCATTGAAAAAGCTAAAACGCTTTCTGACTAATTATACTAGATTACTAGTTTTTTTCATTGAAGTTTGATAGTCTTTGACGATGGGTCAGAAGATTGATCCTTTTGGTAGCTGGATTCTGTAAAATCCCTGCGCGTTTATTCAATCGGTTTTCGAGATCAGTCGTTACATAATTCAGTGGGAGCCTTTAGGAGTCTCAAAAAGTTGTTAAAACAGGTTTTTTAGCCTAAGTATCTCCCTGAAGATCGGTTTGTTTGGAAGTCGTATCATCGACGTCCTGCGAAAGTTCCTTTAAGGTCGTCATTAACTCCAGGGACTGTTCTGATTCTTTTAACAGGCAGGCACAAGGGGAAACGCGTCATTTTTCTTAAACAGCTGGCGAAATCAGGGCTTTTACTTGTTACTGGTTAGTTCTTACAAAATCTGTTTACATCTGTGTCGATGACGTTTAATTTATTAAAATTTTAAATCAATTCATGCTTTCAAAAAAAGCGCTATGTACTTCTGAAATTGACGTATGTAGTCGTCACGAAAGCTAAATTAGTGGGCCTTCATTGGGTGAGGTATAACTGAATAATAAGTTTATGCCTCAAAGAAGCTCCTACAGTAACCTATTGGAAAGTAGTCGGAGTTTATATCATTTCACTGTGCTGAACTTTGTTCTTTTAATTCCAGGGCCATTGAAGCTCAACTCATGCCCCCTTCGACGGATAGCGCAAGCGTTTGTTATTGCCACGAAGACAAAAGTAGATGTGTCTGAAGTAAAAATCCCAGACCATATTAATGATGAATATTTCCGTAGGAAGACCAATAAAAAGGTTCCAAGGAAAGGTGATTCGGCCTTATTTGCCCAGGGACATGAGGTTATTTCTTTATTTCAACAGTGTTGGTCATTTCAGTGTATACTTAAATGTAGAACACTGGAGTAAGTGACATAGGTCAACAATAATCTTACAAACTAGAAACCTTTAAATATGTTTTATAAATAAATGAGGCAATTGTGACAAAGGCTAGAAGGGGAAAATCATTTTCAGCTGAAGTTTAGTTGGATTAAAGACTTAACTAATAAAAATTTAATTTTGACATGCCGATTAAGCTGAATGGACTGTTAGCAAGTGTACTTCTTTGCATTTTACCTCAGCCAGAACAGCAGTTATTTTTCATTCGTCGGGAAACATCAAAATTGTTTTACAGGAGTACCAGGTTTCTGACCAGAGAAAGGCGGATCAGAAGGCCATTGATGCTCCCATACTAGCAGCTATTAAAAAAGAACCTGAACACAAATTCCTATTCCGATACTTGGCTTCCAGATTTTCTTTGGGAAAGAATCAGTTCCCACATAAAATGATATTTTAAAAATGACATTTTTTGCGAATCGGTTTCATTATTGTTAAGTGTTGTTACGGTATAAATATTTGTTAATTCATTTATCTATATAATGAGGTTGTAAGTCGAAGGTGAAGTTACTGAGACCTTTGTTTTGGAAGTGTACCAAGCAATTTGAGTTATGTTATTTTTGGGATGAAACTACGTGTTTTTTTTTTGCTTAGGCTGCCGATATTTTTTTGGAGGGAGTAGTTTAAAGTTCTAGGTCCCGGTGGAACCGCAATGCCTTTTTGGTGCATGTGGCAAGTCTGTGGGAATAAAGTGACTGAAGATTAGTTTCCGATAAGAATTGAGTGAAGTTTTTGAGGTAACTTTATGCCTTAGCTATTCCTATGTGAATTTGCAGCGGGTTCAGGTATTGGTATTACTGTAGTGGTATCATGTTTGGCGGATGTAATGGGATGAATGGGTTGGGGGAGGAAATCAGGTCTTGCCAGTACATTTAGATCAGTCCGTGGAACTGGCAGAGTTCTGTGAAGTTACCTTTAAGTGGATGTGAGCGGTTTGTAGTTAGTGGACTTCTTTCATTGAAGAAATGGGTGATCAGGTGTATTCTGGACTACCGTGGTATGGGGAGCTTGAGGCTGTTCTATAGCCGTTGGTTCGAGTAGTGGGATGGTGTTTTGAGCCCAGTTTCGCTAGTAAGGTATGTAAACTAAGGCGGATGCTTGGAGCGAACATTGTCTTGCATAGGCTAGCTCAAATTATTAACATTGGTTTCACGGTTACTCTGGGGACTCCGCTTACCGGAACTTCAAAAGTCAGTTTCCACACAGTTTTGTACAGGTTTCTGTGGGTGCGTTTTATTGCAACGGAAATCGTGCATGTTTGATTTGACGAAGGATAGAGTGATGAACAGCTGAAGTCTTCAGTAAAGTTTCAGACATTTTTGCAACAAGGAGTTTTCGGAGGATGTGTTTTTTAGAGAATAAGTGCCTCACCAGCTTAGAATTGTATTGCCTGGCAACTGTTTAAGGGTTTAAGTAACTTATGGTTGTAACAGAGGGTCACGACAGTGGGTCTCTTTCTGCTCATCGCCATGTATTTGAATTGAGGTTGGATAATGCATTGGATTTACTGCGTGTGGTACGTGCGCTGATGTTTCGTGAAGTACGATTTCTATTTTTTTTATTTTTTCTTTTATCTTACGTCAAAGAACAGTCATAAGTTTTCTGTTTCCTAGAGTAGCTTTTTTTGCATATCGAGCCAATTTAACATTTATATATACTTTACTTTAAAAAAATTTGGGCAGCTAAAAGCATTACCTTGGTCTTCAGTTACATTGCTAGTAGTGTCTCAGACTGTTTGCGTTTGTTGGTTGTTCCAGAAATTCAAAATTTATAAGTTTCTAAATCAAATTAACAATTTTTTTCCAGTTTTAAATATTATTGTAGTCGTGTGGGTTCTAGCACGGTGCAATCGATGTAAGCAGTAATGGGCTAAGGATAATTGTGGATGACCAAAATTGCCTCCAATCAATAGCATACTTGAAAAAAGAAATCTTCTCGAATTTCATTATTAATGAACCAGCAGTTTCGTTCCGCGTACCAGTGGCAGTCCTCGCTGTAAATCATACGTTTTCGTACAAGATCTTGCTATTGAACTTTGGAATAAATATTACTGTTCCAGGAATGTTTAAGCGTTCTTGGTACTGGGAACAATGTGGCATTAAAAATCACTTACGACGGACATGGAGAGCCCTTAAGGCTACTGTTGGAGAAAGACGGTATTGTAGTTAAGTGCATGATAAAAACTCAAAATCCAGATATGGTAAGCTGCTTTAATTTTGATACCAAATGATGTTTCATGAACAATGCTTCTAGTTTTTATAGTTTTTGGATAGTTTCAGATACTGGATTTTGATTTTGATACACGTGGGATACTTGCAAAGGTAATAATGAAACCTCAAAAACTAAAGGAGGTTTTCCAAGACTTCGATGCCAGCAGCCCCACTGTTGCCATTAATATCAGCCAACAGGGTATTTGCATTTCCACAAATGGTGAAATGGGGAAAATAAGGGTAGGTGTCCTGGAGAAAAAAAATAGAATAAAAACTGCGATCTTTTTTTTTTTCATTTAAGATTCCATCTTTGATACATATTTGCCAGTCATTTTGAGCAGGCATGGTTGTGGTACAAATTCAGGCGGAGTTCCCAAAAAATTCGGAACAAATTGAGCACCTAGACTGCGAGGACCCTGTGAATTTCAGATACCGACTTAGCTTAATAAAGCGGATGACGCCTTCACTGGTGCTCTCACAAAAGGTTAGCATAAGGAAACACTTTGATTTAGAAATATATTAGGGTCACATTGCTCCCTACTCCAAATAAATACATTAAAAAGCATTTCTTTGTCGCCTATTTCTTTTTTTTCCTTGTTTACCAGGTCTTTTCAAAATTTTGCTTCTCCTTCTAAGCTCCCAGTGTGAAACGTCTGCACTAATTTGATGTGATTGAAAAATACTGGACTTTGATTTAGTGCATTCACAATTAAAATTCCAATCCTATTCATCTTTCCACGTTCCTTTGTGGCATACAGTATGTTTTCAGGCTTCTTTAAGAATTGACCATCGAGGAGTTCTTTCGGTACAACTACTATTAGAACAAAGCGAAAGCAACAGCATCTTCATAGAGTTCTTTGTAAGTTAGTTAACCTGGGGACAGAAGGGGCTGAATAAATTATAGTTCACAGAGGGGGCATCTTCAAGTGTACTTTGAAAAATGAAGTGATTATTGTAACCGTGACGCCAGTCGTTTGCGTGGGACGTTTAGTATGAGTATTGAGAAATGTAGACCAGATGTATAAATTATAAAAGATAACTGCGGAATACGCACGAGGTAGAAGTAAATCTTTATATTTTTCTCGACGATAACAGCTGTAGCTATGGTTTCATTACAGTGCGTGCCTGATGCAGAATTTTCTGACGATGACGTCTACGGCAATGACTAGATCTAAAAGCCAATCCGTTTTAAGCAGAGTAGGGAACCGTGAAGCTTTCAATCGTTTCGCGTAGGTCAAGCCTGCTACGGTTGGAACGACCCTTCTCAGCGTATTATAGAGCTGATGACGCTATGGTGTTTTGATCCGAAAACCTCAATGTAATAATGTACCTCCTCATGCTCATACTGTACTTTTGTATTCGAGTTTTTTTTAACGCGTATCGTTCGATGTAGTTACGAAGTTTGATTACTAAACATATACCAGTTTTCTCAAAACACGACCGTGCCACCACTATAACACGTCCATTGTCAAGAAATTCATGTTCCGACATCTAGCAATGCCAACAATTTTATAACCCTAGAGACCAGACCTGCCGCCCAATCTCTGCCCATCAAGGCTTGCATAGTCCACGAACGCGTACACGCATCCTTCCAAGCTGCAAAGTCCACTCCGCAAATGACATCGCAACACGTCACGTACTGCGAGTTCACCAACAAAACGTTCACATTTGTTTGACCACCAACCACATTTAGTGTAGCTTTTAACAACACTACTGAGTATGGTATCTGCAACTTTCCTCAGACAATCACGTCAACACCACTTCTTCTGAACAGGTCTGTGAAACTATCGTCACTGGAAAGTCAACGAAACCCAAACCAATTGTATACAACTAAGTGCATCTCCATTGCACCACTCGCCCGCTCAAACGCCTTTAAAAGAACAAATGATATCGACGATTACTTCTTGCTGAGCTATTCCATAACGTCTCAGAAATCGGCTTTACAGTAACCATTACAGATGACAAGTACACCAGCAATATATTACACAGAAAACTAGGAGAGAAGACAAACAAAACTAAGAACAAGGCATACAACACTAAGGGCTTTAAATATCATACAGGCAAAAAGAAACTTTCAAATTTCACGACTTCATCATGGGGAAAAGAACAGAGAGATACAGATTTTCACATCTTTCTACTGTTGCACTCGTCACCGGAGGAAAGAAAATTTGAAAATGAATGGCAAATTTCACAATCTTTTCTTAGGAGTTATCAGAATCTGAATTTTGCTTAAAGTGCACGATGCAAAGTAGAGGACTTAATCGTCATCATCTTCCTCTTCAAAACCCAAATATCGATACGGAGTCGAAGTATGAGACACTAATGCATTATCAGATTCAGATGTGGCAGAGTCTCCACAATCTTCCACATTTTTCTTCTGACAATGTAAAACAGTGCAATCCTGATCTCCTTCAGAATATACAGAAGACATAACGCCAGAAACTCCAACAGCCCTACTGCGAACAGCTGCATGCGACTCCGCAGCCAAGGCCAAAACGGCTAAACCGTCCTCATGGCGATCTTGCACGCTAAGCTCCACATTCGTGGATGTATTACCACCATCATAGTTAAGTCTCCTAAACAAGAACTATTTTTGACAAGACGCTTTAGAAGCAAAATTGACAAAATTGACAAAAATTAAGGTTGTCACCTCTTGAACAACCACTAACTATGCAATTTTGGATCAGCTTATAAAATATTTGAGAGCAGATGGTTTCACTACCAATTAACTCACTGAGAATTATCACGGGAAATAACATCATCACGATGTGTATCCGAAGACCTTTCAACAGGATTGTCAGAAGTCTTCATTGTTCCAAAAGGATCTTGACAGGACAAGCCTCCACTTAATGCGACCTCTGGCACAAATTCCTGTTTTTTTTCTGGCGTTTCCAAGCGACTACTCAGAGATTCTAAAAAAATCACACAAATCGACAGAGAATTGAAAAAGCGACCAGCCAAACTGCTAATAAACTGATGGCGACCCTCGTGAGATAATAAGTGCAGATGCATACCACTTTTTTCACCTGTTTCACAGCTTTCTCCTTCCTCGACATCTGAGTGTTCGTTAACTATACTAGCAACTGCAGCAGCCGCTTCCGAATCAATTACACTTCGCTGGACGCGGGAGTCAGTGGTGAATGGGTCAATGTAAGTCTCATACCTTGGAAGATGTCGAACTTCAGATGGTCTTGGTACTTCTCGCAACTGAAGAGACACTCTGAGTAAAGAGCTCGTTTTTAATGATTTAGGTGCACCTAAGAGGGCACACATTGAAATCAAAACCTAGTATTGGAAAAATAACAAGCGTACTCGACTGGTAACATTGTTCCCCTGATACGGTAAAAATGAAGAAGTCTGATAAATGTGTCGCGAAGGCTCTAGGAATGTAAGTCTTGCACGGCCGCTCGCTGAACAGCACGAGTAAATTAAATGAATGACTCATAATAAAAAAGTTGGAAACGCAGCTAAAGATTTCAACAAATATAATAAAATCCACGTCGAAAATTAAACTAGAAGCAAGAAAATACAACTAACACGTAGAGGAATACGAACGATCAGGACGATGATAATAATGTTCACTGACATTCTGACGATCTGATGTTGCCCTTAAAGAAACCAGTATAGACAAAAAGTAATACTGTTGTCCTTGTCTGCGTTTTAAAACTGGGCACGTGTAGCAGAAGGAGAAATTTTAGCTAGAATAGCCTGAAGGTGCCTCAAGTGGGAGTGGAGAAATTTAGTAAAAAAATTGAAACGGAGAGAGGTTACAGTTACTTTCCTCAAACAGCATATTTTTCCATCATAATTTTTATTAGACTATTTGGTTATCGATTTTTAAAGGGTTTTGTCTCTGTACTCTCAGACGCACCGTATACCAACCGAATAATTCAATTTAATTTAATTTCAAAAATCTTTGCAAGGAAGAAGGCCAACAGTTATAAAAGCAGCTGCAAAATGAAAAAGAAGTTCTCATTACTCCAATAACAATTTCATTAAAAGCGGCTTCCTCCACAGAACATTCTCGACATCTCTTGAGGATTTTTGCAGAGAGGATGCGGAGAGGAGTGGATATTGATCTCCATCTCTCCCCAATCCCTTCGCCTAAGCTATTAGGTAAGATACTAAAAACCTCTATGTCGTCTTCTCCTTCTACTTTCAAGTGAAGCTTAACCTCTAAAAAAGAACCGGACCTTCTGTCACACACCTTCCCAAGTACTGCTCTACTAATAAAATATTAGGGAATTCTTTTCAATATTATTTAGACCCCATTTTGTTAAATCCGTCGGCCTTCTCGCGTCTTCAATGACAGTGGTAGACGGAATACTTCTCAAATCAAAATGCAACCCTAACGAAAAGAGTTACTGGAAAGGTAAATGCAAAATTTTCCAATACCTTTCAGAATATTTGTCCTGAGAGACTGTTCGGTACGGTGAAGCTGATGTAGAACCACTCACTACAATTGAAGTACGTGGCCGATAATTAGGGATTATTCTTGGAGTACCACCTGAATAATAAATAACTGAATAAAGGAAAAAAGTCCACGTAGAAATAAAAGACAAATATCTCGTCATTGTGGTTGCGTTCCACAAGAGCCAGAACAGAAAAATTTATTAACTGTAGGGTTTATAGGCAAAGCGTCGTCCATCCTCATTAGCTGCAACGGTGACTTGGCGCAAATAAGGACTATTTGTAGAACTACGACGTCGTAAATCTACCTGAACATAGACGAAACTGGTAATTAAATTCAAAAAAAAAAAAAAAAAAAAAAAAAAAAAT